CAAAAACTCAATGACCCCCAAAAAAGTGATAAAGCAGTCCTTGACTTACAACAGTTCGCGTAGTGACTGTTGAAAGTTACAACAGCACTAAAAAGTGACTTATGACCATTTTTCACACTTATGACCGTTGCAGTATCCCCAGGGCCACGTGATTTACATTCAGATGCTTGGCAACTGATTCATATTTCTGATGGTCACAGTGTCCCATGGTCATGTGATCAACTTTTGCAACCTTTTGACAAGCAAAGTCAATGGTTGGGGGGCACTTGTGGGGGGGTGGGCGGGGCTGTGTGGGGGATCTAGGGGTCTCCAGTGGAGGGGGGTGGGCACCAGAGCATGGTCCATCAGAGGAGCCTCAATGTCCCTCTTGGGCTGCACAGGGGACTCCCAGATGGTGGTGCAGGCTGCCCTCACCTCTTGCGGTCCGGCACCCTCAACAGAGACCTTCTGCAATGGCAGGCTGCAAACTAATGAAAGCTGCTTTTTTGGAGTACTTGTTTTTTTCTCTCAACGTGCCGCCATTCACATCATGTCCTGCCCTCCTCAGCTCCCACCCCCAGCCCCATAGAAGGCTGCAAGAAGCTCCCATCGCAGCTTCTCTTCTTCTCAGTCCCGGTAAAAGCGAAGCCTGGTGGCTGTGAGGTTTGGTCAGCAAGCGGGCGTGGTGCTGATCTACCAGTTGGGGGCAATCAAAGCCAGAATGCACTTAGCCTTAGATCCCCAGGGCAGCCCTGGAGCCAGCGAGGGCTCCCTCACCATCTCTGCCCAGCCCCCTGGGGGATGCACAGAGAAGGCAGTGAGCCCTGGTGTCCTGGGGGAAAGGGAAGCGCTTCACTTACCTTTTTTCTTTCTCAGTAGTCAGCAGAGATGCCAGGTGCTCACCGCCTCCTCTTCGTGTGCCCAGGGGGCAGAGGCAACCCCTCACTGGCCCCTTCCCACCAAAACCTCCTTTTATATCCTCTCCTCTCTCGCCCCCTCCTCTTCTCTTCAGCGCACCTCCAGCTTCTGGAAGCACTGATCAGCTGGAGCCTGGTGCTGATCTGGGTGCTTCTGCTGAGCCCCGACAGCCCTGCAGCTCCAGCTGTCTCTCCCTCAGGCTTGTGCGGCACTTCAGCTCATTCCTCTCTACCCCGCTATCATTTTTCTAGGATGGTCACGTACCACCTGCCAGGTGCCAAAGTACCACCGGTTGAAAAGCCTTGGATTAGAGGGACTGAGCTGTTTTTTTTATTCCACTTTAATACTGCTAATTTTGTTTAGTTAATATGTCATCTCATTTTCCACTCATTCCTCTGTGCGAGAATGAATATTTGTAGTGAAAAGTCTCAATTCTCCTCAATGGAAATTCCATTGTGATAAGTCATTATTTATATAGGGAGGGCAATAAAAAGTGGGAAAGACTGATACGCTGGTTCTGTCTCTCTTGAAGTCACAAATGTTTTTCTTGCAGCCAGTGTACACATTCCATGCATTCGCTTCCGTTCCTTTACCATATCCTCACCTCCCTCCCCTATAAGTAATAAGTTTTCTTTTCAAGTCAACGTGCTACGCCAAAATTTTTGTAAACATTGGCAGCCCCTTTCAGAATGAAAATGGAAGGTTAATGGTTGTGTTATGTATTCTATTTCTTGCAGAAAAACAAAATGTCTTCTTAAATTTTAAAAGCGAACCAATGCAATTTGGTGGAACTCTAATCCACATCGTCCTGGACATATTAAGCATTTTCCTAAATAGGTGTACAAACATACAGAGAATAATAGAGGGCAAGCGGTAATTGAAAGGCAAAATGTCTTTTGAAAATATGTTTTTTTAACAATGGATGGATAATTTGCAAATATATGTATTAGAAAAGAATTGCTTATAGAAATTTCAGTTTGAGGACATATCATGTCGTTAGGCAACTAAAACATTGATAATCTCAATGGACAACTAAACATTTTATCACCTAAATGTCTACTCTTTTAAGTTTCCTGTTCTTTGATGTTGAAGAGGCATGGTGTTGATGTAGTAACAGATAATATACAAATTCTACACGTGCATACAACTAAATTCAAAAGGAGCAGCAGCCTAGCAAAAGACATAATATTCATCTCCAAATTCTGGGATTTCTAAAAATATTTTTAATTCTTCTATCTTCCACAATAATTTGTAGATAAATCAAGTTGTAGCTTCACAGGCCTTGCCCTTAAGTCACTGTTCATTATCCATATGCAGGCAATGAAAACATCCTTTTTAAAAATGCCTGTTAGATGGCCTGCACAAAGGTCACCCATGTAAGGGATAGTTTTAATATCTAATATGATGTCTGATGTAGGTCTATAAGTCACATCAGAACTAGTGTGGTGTAGAAATTAAGATGTTGGGCTAGAAACAAAGAGGCCCACATTTTAATCCACCCTCCAACATAGAAACTCACTGGTCACCTTCTCTCAACCCTCTCTGCTTGACAAGAGTTGCTGTGAGGAAAATACTGTAGGAGGGAATGCTATGTAATCCACCTTCAGCTCCTGAATGAAAGGCAAAAATGTCAATCTGATTAATCAATGACATTTACAGGATTCTGTCATTTCCCATCCACCTGCAGACATTGCTGGCAATTTGTCTTATTACAAATTCTGCTTCTCTTTCTATGCAGAAAATGCAAAAACCTCAAAAGCTCCACCCAATTCATATACAAGCAAATCCAGATGACACTGTTGTTACTCACTATCATATTTAGTACATCCAATTAAAGCTAAACATTATGATTTAGCTTAACATGCAAAGCACACTATGTATTAATTTCTATGTCCTGAAGCATTAATTAGAAGGAACATGTGTACAGTACAGTTACTAAGCAGCGGAGAAAGATCTTTAACCCTTCCCATTCCAGCATGGTCTAATATTTGTTATTGTTGGCAGAACAATATTTTAAATATTCTGTATTGTAATTTGAATAATAAAGCGGTTGCAGCAGAGAATAGTGTGAACCCTATATGCATTGCAAAAATTTAACACATTTATGAACTAAAATAAATTTCATTAGATAAATGCAGTGACTCCATGTATATAAAGAAATGTTAAGTTTGGCATTACAAGGGCAGATGACTCTGCAGAAACAAGGTATCTAGTTTCTTTCCAGCCCAAATCAAAATGCCCATATAGTGGGTTGTCTTCAGTGCTTAGAGGCAACATATCCATAGAAGCCTCCAGTAGCCCAACAAAGCTGGGCAGATGTCAACTAAATCCTGGGAACAACCACATTGTAAGACAAAGCATGACAGATTGTGTCCATTGCCAAGTCATATCAGGAGAAAAGGGAAATAACCAGTGCTTTTTTTGTCATAGAACACACAGGAACAGAATTCCGACACCTTTTTTCAATGGATTTTCCAAGTTTTAAAAGTAACTTTTGAAAATTTGATGTTTGGTCCACGTGGACATGTTTCTCCGTCGAGCATAGCAGGTCGGCTGGAAACTCATTAAAATGGTGCATGCAGGCTGTTTGTGTGTCGAGTCTAATGCATGAGGACTTCATCCGCACTGGTTGTGATGGCGCTGCTCAGCTTGGGGCACTGTTTGGCTTGTGATTGGTTGTGTGGTCGCGTGCTGAGTGCTTACTGCGGGCGGCGACCATTATGTTTCGTTACACAACTGACATGTGTGGGTGTGTGTACAGTAATTGACTACATGCTAAAGGTAAATAATTTCTTTATTTTAAAAAATCATTGGTGAATTGAAAATCTTTTTTAAATTTTTAGTGTAAAAGTGTGACCCCCAAATTTAAAAATGAAAAAAAAAATACTAATTACTCCTCAACCACCGGTCCTGCTAAGAACTGAATATATAATTTTTTAAATAAAAGATTAACAAGATGTGAGTTCCAGCACCTTTTTTTTTTTACAAAAAAAGCACTGGCAATAACTATTTTGAAACTGAAACACCTAATTTTTTTAACTTTAAGCTACTTCAACAATGAAAACTATTACATAAAAACAATTACCAGAGCACAACTGTGGTAGAGTTTGAAAGATGTGAAAATCAGTCTGCTTATGTTGATAAAATGGATCTGAAAATAGTCAAACAGACTGAATAACTCTTGATTAACCAGGTGCCTTCAAATTCTTGTTGGCCACAAACTATGTAAACTTCCTTCCAGAATGATCTATCCTCAGCCTGGCCCTTTAGATTTCTCTGTTAATGTATTATTACTATAATTGAATCCATCCTTACTTCAAGTTCTCTCTGCTTTTCCACCATTATCATTCCATTAATTGGAATAGGATCTTTGTATAATGTGTCCGCATTATAGCTTGAGAACAGTTATTTGTACCTTGAATAATATCTGATTTGTAGTGATTGTGTTCAACATTCAAAAGCTCTTGGGTGTTTAAACTGTATGCACAAGGGTTTGGGAGACAAAAACTCCATTTCTTCATATATCCCACTAGTCAATGAAAACTCAATTTCAAAGATTAGAAATAAGAATTACTTTTTAAACAAAACGGCCGCCTGCCAGACTTTTACCTAATTGTGGTTTAAAGAATGGAAGAATCAATGTGAGAACACAGAAAAATCATACCACGGAAAACAGAATTTGCACCCCTTAATAACTACCAAGAGAAATTACAATTAAAATCCTCACCTAGACATTTTAATAATTGCTAAGTGGGAAGAAGAAATGTAACAGCAAACCAGACTTCATCTAGGCCTCTTCTCTTAGGAATAAGCTCTTTTGAACATAAGGGGAGTTCATTCAGTTCGAGCCCGCTTAGAATCCTAAAGAGTTGCATTAAACCAGTGTTTTTCAAACTTGGGAGCTAAGGTGTATTGACTTCGACTTCCAAAATGCTGACTGCAGAATTCTGGGAGTTGAAGTCTACGCAGCTTAAAATTGCCAAGTTCGAAAAACGCTACATTAAAGCCACGCGATGCAGCAGACGTCACCGCGCCCTCCCCCTCAGTGTCCCGGCGCGATTCCTCTGCGATTCGCTGTTCCTGCAGTCTTTCCCAGCCGCTTAGCCCTTGCAGCTGAGATAGTGACGCCACAGGCCGCGCAGAGAGGTTACGTCTTGCCGGGTGCGTTTAATCCGCTTCCGCTTGAGCGGGTACTCCAAAACACGGCTGCGTATTTATGAGTGCCCAGATTTGGTTGGTGCTTTGTTTCTGAGGTAATTCTTTTCCAGTTCCTCTGAAGAGGAAAATAATGCTTGAAATGATCCTTAATGCTCAGAGAGGAGTGTTCAGGTGGGAAAGATAAGAGACTTTTAAAGCTAATGGGAAAAAGTCTCGCTCTCTCTTCTATCCTGGGAAACCAGGTCGCATCCTCTCCCACCTCCTCGTGGGCTTGCTAGTTCTCGGCTCCCATGCAACTATTACAGGAGACATAACAAAAACGCCAGGTGTTGTCTAATACATACTCAAAATAGGCGTCTATTCCAGCTCATATTTCTGTTTAGTGGTTAAGTCCTGCAGAATAAACAATTCTGCTTCAAAAGAAGCTTAGATAAAACTTCTTGTGAAAGGGATGTGCATCATCTCCAAGAGTATAGAGTGTTTAACATGCAAGTTGCCAATGTATGTATGCAACAAGGAGATGTATCTAGGAATGTTACAGACTTGTGGTTTTATCTAGTTTAGTAACAATTGTGCAAGTTGCTTGCTTATGATTTAGACTGTTCATGAGATCAATTAACCAGAGGTTCCTACATCAGTACTATAATTGAAGACTCCAGAATTCAAGCAGTATTGTAAAAGATTTTATACCAATAAATGGAATTTGTTATCTTAACCTTGAAATATTCTATCTTTCAAGCAGGTTAATCAGTTCTCAAAATGGGGACACCTATATTGAACAAATCTAGATCATTCTACAGTCCTGAGAATTGTGAGAATTCTGTTCAAAGCAGCAGCTTAGGAAAACAGGTAATAAATATATCAGGAAATGTATTTTAATGTAAGTTTGTATATTCAGATTATGAAAAACAGTTTTTGATTACATTTACGTTAGCTAATGAGTACAGCCCTACGAGAACGGTTGAAGAAAACGAGAAGATCCTTTCAATCAAATTTTATTGTCGCCAAACAACTTAAAATAGATGATGAAAACAATAGTAATCAGAAGGAGAAAACTTTATCAATGAAAGAACCATATTTTGTATCGCATGCTGAGGATAAGTGCTTGGAAAAAGTTCCTGATGAAACTATGTGTTCGAAGAGTTCTGCAGAAGACAGATCACTATCTGAATACAATGGATATAATAAAGTTATGCACAATTCTTCAGAAATTAATTTGTTGGGGACAGATGGTAAACAATGGGAGCTGTTGGAGGAAAAGATGACACTAATGAAGCAGCTTCAGGAAAAAGAGGACATTCTTCGAAGACTTAAATTAGTCAAACTATACAGAACAAAGGTAAATATTAAGACTTCATGAACAGTTTTAAATAAGTTTAAATGTATTGGAAATAAATCCTGTAGATAAGGCTGTTTTTCAATATTTTTGTTATACTATTGCATTCCCAAATACTAACTGATCTTAGCATGATTATCAAGCCAATTTATGTTTTAGTTGATTCTTGCACAATAGCTTTCCTCTATTCTAGGGATGAATAAGTTTGACTGTAATGGAAATTGGTCATTTCCTTAATAAGATACTATTTCTTGCCAATGTGTAAAGTGCTGTCTATTTTTAATTTAAAGCTGAAAAGACTTATTTTCATGTAATACCAATTCTAGATAAACTATGTATGTACTCAGTGTCATTTACTCATTCTTGTCTTTTTGCATATATTAAAATTATAATTCCTTGCAGAGTCATATCCATTGTTTAAACTGTGCCAATGTTTATGTATTTTGCTTGTTCTGGAAAGTAGAAAAGGGTTTTTTTTTTGTATGTTATAATTCTACTCCTAAGTAGTAGTAGTATTCTACAAGTAATGATAAGTAAATTTATTGTCTCCAACATGTAATAAGATTTTTAAAATAGTTTTTGTGTATGATACTTTATTCTTTCAAGTTGAAAGTACACTACAAACATGGGGCAAGGTGAAAATCCTGATATTTATACTTCTAAATTCTGTGAATTTCTGTTCTCTATTGCAGGAGTCTCCAACTCCCAGGCCACAACTCACTCCCAGGCCATGGCCTATTTGGAATTGGACTGTATGAGTGGCTGGCTGAAGAGAGCATATACATGCAAGTCAAGCAGCATGCATGCATGCTGGCTACCACTTGCGTAAGGGCTGCGTGTATGTGCTCACATGCGTCAGCCTGCTGTTCATGCAGCCCACTTCCCATCTCCCCTTCTAGCCAGACTGCCAAGCCGCAAAGGTTGGGGGCCGCTGCCCTATTGGTATCTTTGTTTAGGTTTTCCATTTCAGCTATATCACTCTATAAGTATTGATTTTTTTCTATTTCCTTATAGAATAACCCAGAAGAGTTACAATTTCTGATATCAAAATGGAGAAAGAGTTCCCAAGCAATGCTATATGAGCTGCAGACAGCCTTATCTACTGATAACAAGAAATTAAGTCTGACTCAACTGATTGACAGTTTTGGATTAGATGACAAACTCTTACATTATATCCGAACAGATGAAGATTTTACAGATCCATAAAAATTTGTGTTTTATTTCACTCTTAAAAATATATCAAAAGATAACTTATTTTCAAAAATTGAATCTAAGTTCTGAACTGTATGACTAGATCATTATAAGAACCTGCTACCTCTTTTTGATTCCTTTTTACTCCAGCCTCTATATTTAATACATTAAATTCCATGATTCTGTTGTTATGTGCCTTCTCATGTGTTCTTAACAGTCTCTCTTCAAATTGCAATCATTCAGCCAATTTCTTTTGCCAAGTTGCTTTAGGATACTTTTCCATATACAAGGATATATTTCTATTCTTTCATGAGTTTTTAATTCCACTGTACATCTTTTGGTTTTGTAAAAGTGAAATATACCAGTTTTAGTATGACAACAGTAATCTGTTACAATATAAACTGGTAAAATTTAAATGCATTGTCAATATAAATATATTGATCAAAATAAATTATGATACAATATTTATAAAACTATCTTAATATAATAAAGAATTCAATTGAAAGAGAAAAGGGAAAAAACTACCTTGTCTAAGAGAGTTTATTGCTAAAATTGTTGCACATCAAAGAAAGCCGGGAATGTTCTCATTCTCAATCTTTCTACTTCAGCTTGAAGGATGGCCAACTCCTGGGCTTGTGCTTTTGCAAGATCTACAAGCTGCTGTCGTTGTACAATATCCTCATAATGCTCCTTAGCAATGTTTTGGTTCAATAGTTCTGAGTCTGGTTTTTAAACAAAAATATTCAGAATAAAATCAATGAACTGATTATCAGTCTTTCCCAATTTCTTTCAAATTTACTAGTAGGACTGTGGTAACTATAATTTGTTATTATGAGCTGTACATCATTATACGATTGATGAAACATTTACTTCATTTGCACCCCAAACACTTTTGTTTATTTTTATTTATTAGTTTCACTTGCTGCCTATCAGTATTACTAAAAGGCTCAATGAGTGGAGGGATCCAGTTGCTAGTGGTAGGAGATCGTTGACCATCCCCTCAAAACTACTGAAAAATCTAAAATAACAATATGGAATTAAAGACAACAGAAATGTCAGAATATACTGCAATGCTTAACAATGTTGTGGCAACTGGTAATTGACCTAGGAGATTTTACATACTTTGATAATATCCAGATTATTTTGAAAAAAAAAATGATTTTCATAAAGTGCATAATGTGAATTCACTAGCTACGTGTTTAGAAGAAGAAAATCCACTGTGATTTTTTTTGGCAGAAAAGTAGTATCTGATCTTTGCATGTGACTTACCAGTAGCCTCATAAATGTGCCGCCTTTCTGATACAATAACAAGCATTTCTTGTAATTTTTTGCTGAGCTTCTGGTTTGCTACCTCTTTTAAGTGTATTTGTTTCTCTAATTCTTTAATTATTTTTTCTTTTTGTTCTATATTTTTCTTGTGAACCTGGTAAGTGAAAACAAATTTATTAAAAAGGGATCTTTAGAATGTATTAAGTGAAAAGGTGCTAAAACAAATTTTATTTTTTCTGTGAAGGAGAGTAATGTTAGATTTTAATATGATTTGATTCAGAGTTTTAAAATGTAGCCAGTAACTGAAACTATTAATAGAAAGTGAGGGTCCCAATGACTATAGAACATATTTTGGTATATTGTTTCCCCAAGTGAGAAGTTGAAGTAATTATATTACTAAAACAGAAGCAATCAACCATATAAAAGATTTGGATCCAAAGCAGGCAAAGGTGGGTCTTTTCTGTTTCTACTGGCTTCTCTTTAAAGAAACAGTGGCTTTTTTTGAGTTTCTATGATAGCTGTACAAGCAAACATAAAGAAGCTTCATCAATAGATAAATGATGTTTTCAAATTATATATATTATTTACTTAAAATATTTTAAATAATTCAAGTTGCTAGTGATCTTTTTATCATTTGGTTCTAACTCATTTTGATAAGCTGTCAACCAAAGTTGCTTGCAAACAACTTTTTCTTCGTTCTGTTCTATCCTCTTTCCAAAATGGTTTTTTTAGTTATAAAAAATTGATTCACTGGAAATACTTCAGAATTGTAACAATATTTTTCCAGTTATTTTTTAGACTTCATATATGTTCAATAATGCAAGATGAACACTAAATTGAGACAACTAAGTTAAGTTCTATAGTACACTCTTAAATGCTTTGAGGAAAAGTGATACTAAGATAATAATAAAAAGCAAATGAAACGAACTGGTGTAAACTATTCTTCAATTTTGTCTCTTGAACATTATAAATAGGGATAACTAATAGCTAGGAGCAGGTTAACTGATGCTGTAGTGCAGGGGTGTCAAACTTGCAACGTCATGTGATGTGTCGCCACGTATCAAGACTTTTTCCATTGCCAGCAACGGGGTGGGTGCAGTTTCGGCATGATGCATCTGGCCAGTGGGCCGGCAGTTTTGACACCTCTGCTATAGTGTATTCACAATGAGGAAGATAAATCACAGTTCATTTATGACAACTGAAGGAAGGAGAGGCAGAATTGAAGAGTGCATATTGAAATAAATCCTACTGACTGAGCTAACTTCCAAAATAATTTCATCTAGTAGTTGGGTGATGGATGTTTGTGTGCAAATAAGTTTGAAAATAAAATTGTTTTAGTAAGAATTAATCCTTTTCATGTGGCAAGCTTTGTATACAATGAAAAAAAAAAGGTCAGTCTAGAACGGGCAAGCAACCTTGGCTCTTATGACTTGTGGACTTCAACTCCCAGAATTCCTGAGTCAGCATGGCTGATTCAGGAATTCTGGGTATTGAAGTCCACAAGACATAAAAAAGCCAAGGTTGCCTACCCCTGGTCTAGAAAAAGACAAGTTTTTTGGGTGACAAATTAGGACTGTAGTCTGAAGGTTACAGATGTGAAAAGCAAAAGTAAAGGTGATTGGAAGTATTTAGAAGAACTCAAAATTGTCTTCCTTTAGCAGGTATAAATATGAGATCATCTTATCTGTAAGTATAAACTAAGATAAATATGTTGAGTAGGTTGCATATTCCATATTTCTTTATTAAAATTTATTCCATAAAAAACTTACCTTGTCTAGAAAGTTAAATGTTCCTTCCATTATTGATACTTCATGATTCATCCGCTTATCATAGTTTAAGACTGATAAGAACTATGAAAAACAAAAGATCAAGCTAAAAGCTGATGCTGCCAATGTTAAATCCTAGATTTGCAATATTAACATAGCAAAAATAATCTTCCAAAGGAAGATTGTTCTGCTTTCCAGTAACAAATCTTAAATAAATTCACATTTACCTCCAAAGTGCTTTTATTGAGCTAGCACAGACTATAATATGCTGTCTCAGATATAGGGCACATATAGTTGTGCTTAAGATTGTGAACCCTGTTGAATGTTAAATATTTTTGCAGAAATATGACCTTAAATTTGATCTGCTCTCCATGTAAGTCTTAAAATAGATAATGAAAACCTAATTTACTGAATAAGTAAAAAACATACTTTTTCACTTTATAGAATAAAGTGATCCAAAACTACATATTTGTATGTTCAAAGATGTTTGAATCTTTGCTTTCACTAAGTAGCATACCTTCTTGGGCAGCAGCAACTTCAAACATTTCCAATAATTTGATCAGTCCTACACATCAACTTGGAGGAGTTTTAGCCCATTCCTCCTTATAGAACACTTCAAATCAGAAATTTGGTGAGCTTCCACATGTGAACTGCCTGCTTCAGATCCTTCCACATTTCTATAGGATTAAGGTCAGGACTTCGACTTGGCCATTCCAGAACATTAACTTTCTTCTGCTTTAACTATTCTTTGGTTGTACAACATGTGTGTTTGGGGTTGTTGTCTTGTCATATGACCCACTTTCTCAGTTCAAAGACATACCCTGATATTTCCCTGTAGAATTTGTTGTTATAATTCAGAATTCATAATTCCATCAATGATGGCAAGCTATTTTGGTTTGGAGGTAGTAAACCATGATATTGCCACCACATTTCACAGATGAGGTAAGACCTTCCCATTGGAAGGCAGTGTTTGTCTTTTGTAAAATATAAAACTTTTCATCTAAGCCAAAAAGTTCTATTTTGATCTCATCTGTCCATGAAACATTCTTGTAATAGTTTTCTGGCTTATCCACAAGAGACAGACAGCAATGTTCTTTTGGAAGAGTAGTGGCTTTCTCCTTGTAACTCTGCCTTCCACATCATTGTTCAGTGTTCTTCTAATAGTGGTCTAATTAACATTGATATTTGCCAATGGGACAGAGGCCTTTAGTTCCTTAGATGTTATCCTTGGCTATTTGAAACCACCTAGAGTAATACTCAGTGCTTTTTTTGTAAAAAAAAAAAAAAAAAAAAAAAGTGCCGGAACTCACACACGTCATATAACCCGCCTTGCCTACCCTACAAGGTTCCATCCAAAAAAGGTGCTGGAACTCCGTTCTGAATGTTCTATGACAAAAAAAGCCCTGGTATTACTTATATTTGGTGAGATCTTGGTATCCTAGGAAGGATAGGAATGGTACTGAATTGCCTCCATTTGTACACAATCTGCCTGACAATAGATTGGTAAAGTCAAAATTCTTCGGAAATAGTTTGTAATGTTTTCCATCCTGGTGAGTATCAACAATTATTTTTTAGAGGTCCTCAGAAATCTCCTTTTTTCAAGTCAGGACACACCTCTATATATTTGTGTTATGAAGAGCAGATTTAATCAAAATACCCAGAATTCTATTCAGACCTCCCACACTTACACCTGATTATATTCCTACTGAGGGAAACACCTATAATGTGTGGATGAACTTGGGGGAATGAGGGGAAGAGAAATTTCTTAGGAAACAATAAAAAAAGGGAGACAGGAGCCCTCAGTGGCTTAATGGTCAGAGAAGAAAACTTAGGAAGGACCTGCACTTATGGATCAAAAGTGGCAGCGGGAGGTTTGTACTTTCAGACTTACAAGATTCTGTTAATGTAGTCTTACAATAAAGTTGAATTAATTCATCTAGTTGTGTTTCCTGTCTGGTTTAACTGGGAGGCCTGACCACACCTGACTCTAGTTTCCCCTTCAAATGAACTGATA